TTAAATAAAAATTTTAATTATATATTTTTTAAAACAAAAGTAAAAAATAAAAATAAATCTAATCCTTCCTAATTCTCTAAATTGGGGATTAAAAATAAAGAATTTGGAAGGATTTTATTACCCTTCTATCTCCCCCTCATTTAATAACCATACCCAAACAAGGGAAAGAAAGAGCTACCCCTCACTCTCTTCCCCTTCTCCTCCAGATCCCTCAATCTAAACTCAACCTAAAGAGGAAAATATTGTTTACAAACAACACTAAAAAAATGTTGGTTAAACCTCAATTTTGGTCCCTCAACTTTAGATTTGGTCCTTAAATTAAATAAATTTTATTTTGGTCCCTAAATTTTAACTTCTAACTCTTTTTCATCTTAAAATTAAAAAGAATTTATTTAGTTAAAGACCAAATTAGGAGTTTGTATGAGGTTCAAGGATTAAAATTGGGGTTTAATTTAACCTAATAATAATTTTGTGATTAAATAAGTTTCTTAGGCTAATATAAACAATGAATTTTATCCATATTATCAATTTTTGCAATGTGGAATTTCTACATTCATTAATTTGAAAGAAAAAACAAGTTTTAACGTCAATTGACATGCCATACAAGCTAGAGTTTAAGGAAATGACTAAAACAAAGATTTATTTAATTTATAGACCAAGTCTAAAATCTGTATCAAAATTGAGATTTAATAAAAAAGAAATTCTACCTAACACCTAATGTTCAGGTCAAATTATGCAATATTATAATTGTGACAATTAGTAGCACAACATTTTTACACGCTTCGTTGCCACCGCTCCTACCCTTATGGGGTGTAGCCCCACAGACTTGGTGTTCCAACCTTGTAGGGTACATACCTATGTTGTTCTCATCTCTTTCTTCTTCGCTACATCGAAAAAATCTTTTTTTTTTTCTTTTTTTGATAAATAATCATTTTTCTTTACATTTTAAGATAAGCTGTACAACAACAGGGAGTAATCTTATATTTTTCAGATCCCCCTATACGTCTTAAAGTAGGAGTTTGAGATTTTCAATTGGTTGAAATCTCAAAGTCGTGGTAGTGAAGAGTCAGAAGACATGCTTGTGACAAAATTACATTTTACTAGAAGAAAATGATTGGTACACCCTCCACTTTAACACACCTAAAAACATCCATCGATCAGTTCAATCATTAAAGCTTGCTTTTGAAAATTTTCCCACCTTAAATTCAAATTTAAAAATATTAGTTTCTTAATGATTAAACCGATAAGTGTTATTAAATATGTTAAACCGAAAGATGTACCAATTATTGTCCTTTACTAAATGTAGGACTAAACAACTAGATGGGGCTTTTTCCTGATTTTCTTATTTTTCACAAAATTAACCTTAATCATCAATACTCCATTTAGCTTTAGGCATTTTAGTTTAACATTTTAACTTTTTAAAATAAATTTTAAATAAAAATTTAACAATTTATATGA